TGTGTGTGTGTGTGTGTGTGTGTGTGTGTGTGTGTGTGTGTGTGTGTGTGTTTGAGAACCTGATGAGACTCTGGCAGGAACAAGTCTTGTTTTGGGACCCTCTGTCCTCGGGCATTTCACTAACGTGAGGTGTGGTTTGGCAGTGGACTTGAACCCGAGAGGCTAGGTTCCAAAATCTGACTTTGCCACTGGATGTGCTGGGTCCTTGGGCAAGTTATTCAGGGATCCCTGTCTGCTTCCACAACTGTGAGATGGGGAGGGAGCACCTGATTTTCAGGCTTTTATGCCATATGGGGAAAGATCTGGCCCGGAGCCTGTCACATGGCGGAGCCGTAAATACTGTGTGTGTTTAGTGGCTGGATGAGGCAGATTTCACACTGAAGCCCCGTAGAGCATACTGTTTGTGAAGCATGGGCCTGGGAAGCTAAGGAGCTGCTGGAGCCAGAGGGAGGGCGACGGAAGGCTAACAGCCTTACATCTCATGCTTGTCTCCGCCAGTCCTTGGACAGAGAGGACTGTGGTGGCGATATGGTGTGTTGGGAAGATTAAGTGGGCAGGAGAAAGCATGTAGCCTGCAGGGAGAGATGGCAAGTCGACATGCTGGGTGAGGTCTGATGTCCAGCAAGACCAAGTGCTTTTAGCATTGAGAATAGTGAGGAAATTCAGCTCAGTCTACCAGGTATTTACTGAGTGCATATGATTGTCGGGATCTCCAATAATATCTATTGCTGGAGATCTTAAAACTGAAATATCGGGGCGCCTGGGTGGCTCAGTCAACTGACTGAGCATCTGCCTTCGGCTCAGGTCATGATCCCGGGGTCCTGGGATCGAGCCCCATGTCAGGGTCCCTACTCAGCGGGGAGCCTGCTTCTCCCTCTCCCTCTGCAACTCCCCCTGCTTGTACACTCTCTCTCTGTCAAATAAATAAATAAAATCTTTAAAAATAAAAAAAATAAAATCTAAAACAAACAAACAAACCTGAAATCTTATAATTACTCTGGAATAAAGAATGTCTCTAATCTGAGGGTTCTTGTCTTCCTTCTCCCAGGGTTGGATGGTCTCCAGAGAACCCTAAAGGGAAGCTGGGTTATGCAATGGGATGTAAACAAGTCACCCAAAGCTGCAGATTAGCTAGTATGAATGACATTTATTCTTTCTTCCCCATCCAGCCTTCTTCCAGAAACTTAGCTCCTGCAGGAGTAAGTCCATGAGGACCCCTTTCTAGGAAATCTGGGTGCTAATGTCTGGCTGGCCTGAGCTAATCATGTGGAAAAGAGCCCGAAGCAGACCCAGGAAGTTGGTGCTCCGATAGAGCCGTGGCAGCTGGCCTGAGTGTGGGAGGAGGTGCTCCCAGGTTGGTTTCGGGGGGGGGGGGGGGGCCACGGCGGGCCCGAATGGGCCCCAGCATTGCCGGTCTCCCCCGCCCCCCCCCCCCCTCCCTTCTCTGTCCTCTCATCCTTTGCTCTCTTTCTCAGTTCAGTGGCTTCCCTAGGTTAGCTTAGGATGGTAGGAGTAAAGAAGAGAGTCTGGTCAAGTGTGGGACCCTGGTGAGCAGGGAGGTAGCACCAGCATGGGAGGCAGAAGGGCCCGGAGGAACCTGTGGCCCAGCCGCCTTGTTCAGCAGGTCTAGAAACAAGGCCAGAGGTGTTGAATGGCCTGTCCGAGGACACATGTGAAGAGGGGCAGAGATAGGCTGGATCCACAAGTGCTGATGGTAGTACAGCTCTGGATTGAGCTTAATGGGTCCTGTCTTCTAGGTTATAATATTATTTTGAGCCCTGGCATCAGGCTTCATTGCCAAAGCTTTGCCCTTGTTTTCTGCGCCCCCATTAGCCAGTGTACAGTTAAGTACTGACTTTGCCATGCATTTGCCAGGCCTGGTTTGGAATCTTTAAAAGCCAATATGCAAAATGAGCCTTAGTGGCCACATGGGAGGTTATAGGGTATTGCTTTATTAGTATGTAGAGAAATGAATATAGCTGAGGAGAAAGGAGAAGGGAACTTCAGACAAAACCACCCTGGGGCGCCTGGGGAGCTCCGTCGGTTAAGCGTCTACCTTGGGCTCAGGTCATGATTCCAGGATCCTGGGATGGAGCCCCGTGTTGTCAGGCTCCCTGCTCAGTGGGAGGTCTCCTTGTCCCTCTCCCCCGTCTGCCCCGACCCCCCACTTGTGTGCTCTCTTTCTCAAATAAATAATAAATAAAATCTTTTTTTTTTAAGAAACAGTGGTTTATTTTTCTAATGAAATTACCAAGCTGCTGAATCTTAAGGCCTCAACAAATGTTGCATCTTATTATTTTCATTGAACAATAAGACCTCCTATTTTGATTATTCTCGGTAAATAGCAATTTTGTTTCTCCAGTTGTTTCCATTTGCCAAAGTTATGACAGACAGTTTAATATGGGGGCTGCTGCTTTCAGGGGATTCTATCAGATGAATCCTCATTTCCATCACAACAGCTGCTGGCAGTCTTTCATCAAAAGTCTATCCATTAGGACTTTTCTATCGTGGTTGGCCAAGAAGTCCTGCTTTGGCTGCCAGGGCTTCATTCTGCTGAATATGATATTCCTGAAATCTCATAGATATTCTTTGTGTCATTTTTAAATATTTCTGTAAGCAACGTTTGGAACGGGTGGTCTCTTCAGGTTTTACTTCTCTTGTTGTAAAGTCTTTAACGCAATCCAAAAAGCAGGTTTCTATAAGTTTATTGTAGGTTCCAAGAAATTCCTTAAACTGTTTTATCTGATCAGATTCTGGTATTTGTGCAGCCATATTCTATTGGTATGTTTATTAGTCACCTTTTCTGATGCATGAGTTTCCTTTTGTTCCGGAAAATTAGTTGTCCAACCTTTGCTTGAATGTTTCCAATGACTGATTTCTTACTTGAGCACAGGCTCTCGCATCCAACACCAGTGCGAGGCTGGGGGGCTGCGCTGCCAGTCAAGTCTAGGGGTGGAGGGTCTGGGTCCAATAATAGATAAAATCTTAAAAAAAAAAAAAAAGGGGGGCACCTGAGTGGCTCAGTTGGTTAAGCGACTGCCTCCGGCTCAGGTCATGATCCTGGAGTCCCGGGATCGAGTCCCGCATCCGACTCCCTGCTCAGCAGGGAGTCTGCTTCTCCCTCGGACCCTCCCCCGTCTCATGCTCTCTCTCTATCTCATTCTCTCTCTCAAATAAATAAATAAAATCTTAAAAAAAAAAATTAAAAAAAAAAAAGACAAAACCACCCTGTTAGCGCCTCTTTTTACAGATAAGGAAACTGAGGTCCGGAATGGTTGGATGGAAGAGAAGGGCTCACATCAGAGGTCCCTGGACCATGACCGTCCTTGCCCTCCCAGTTTTTCTAGAGTATGAAGCTTGTCCGATTTTAGAGATTGTCTTTCGTTAAAAGATACACATTACAAATACAAAATTAGGTATAATCTTTGGAAGGGACTCCATGCAAGTGAAGGGTCTTGAAGCTTCAGTTGGTAGCTTCACTGCCAAGCCACCAATGGTACCTGGACAGAACCAACTTTTGGAGATGGCAGAAGAAAAGAGGCTTATGGTCCTGGAATCTGGGAGAGAAGAAGGGACAGAGCTGAGCCTAAGGTTTTCATGTGGACACTGTCACCCTTCCTGCTCTCTCCTCTTTGTTGTTCTCCCTTTCCATTTTATAGCCCTGTTTGCAACTCCCAAAATGACAATTGAGCCAAAAATGCTGCCCATTTGTAAAAAGGGGAATGGAGACATTTTATGAATGAAGGTGCCCTAGAAACTGGAATGGAAGTGATTCTTCACTGAAATGAATTAAGTGGGATCCTGTCTCATTTGTATCCATCGGATCTTCATTTATGGAGAGGATTGCATGATGACACGAAGAGGTCAATGACATTGAAGAAAGTTGCTATCATTTCCCAGAAAAAGGGGGGTGGGGATCCCATGCCACACATGACCACAGGAAAAGCATCAAGTTATGGTCAGGAGGGAGAAGCAGGAGCAAGAGGGAAAGCCTGATCCACAGCTTTATGGGGCTTTCCGTGGGAAAAACAGGGCAAGGGAGTTTAGGATTGGCTCATTGGAATAGTTCTGGTGGGCTTTGGGCTATAGCTCTGTTCTCTAGTTGCCTAGTGCCTGGCCCTGGGACAGTTTAGACAAGGGAAACATTAGCTTGGTGTGTGAGGGTTAGATAAAAAGGGGTGATTTGGGGGACAGATTCAGAATTAGTTGGTTTACATATGAAAAGTATGCTCCTGGCCAGCCCTCTGCTATCTCTAAGAATTGGTTAACCCTGGGGTGGTGGGGTGTCAGTCTTTCTTCAGCACACAAGACTTTTTAAGATGTTAAAATAGCGTAAGATATAGAAAAGAAAAAAATATGATTAATACATTCTGCCTAGCTGTGAACGGATTGACTAGAAGACTTTAAAACTTCTTACTGCCTTAGGGTGCTTTTTATCCATGGCCAGACACAAAAAATACTGTCCTTGCCATCTTTTAATAAATAGATCGGGGCTTGCAAGGAGAATCCGCTGAAGCACTATTCTTGTAATTTGAGGAAGGTGCCACTAGGTGGTGCTTACACCCTGCTCTGGCCTGATTGAACGTCTTGACTTCCTATGGGGTGGGTTATTTTTCCATTCATTTTAACCTTTCTCTGACCAAAATGTATCTCACCGGGATAACAATTTAAACACTAGATAGTTCTATATTCACAGAACAATATTAAATAATTGTAGTAAGATTTAAAGAAATATATATACCCAAGCATAATTCATTATCTTTTTGCTCTTCAATCATTATCAAGTATAAGTGAATCTGATTCTTAAATTTTTTTTTCTTTGTGAGTTTCAATACCTAATCAAAGGACTATGGTGATTGTAGTGATGGTGGTGTGCTCTAGAATAGTTTGGCAAAAGTCTTCAATAGGAAAAGCCATGTGTTTCCACTTCTCAGGAGAAAGGTCCTATCTACATTTCCTTTGTTTTTATTTTGTTGTGTGAATGTTTTCTTCTTCACAGACATAAAGAAAGAGAAAAGATAGTGGTGTAAAAAGCCCTGGTCTGTGTAAAATCTGCTGTGTTCTTTTCCTAAACAGTCCCTGGGGGCAGTTGTAGGACTCAGGTGCTTTCTGATGAACTGGAAGGTGGTGGTGGCCTACCAGCCCTCACTAGTTACATCTGGTGCAGATGAGAAATTTGCTCTAACATGAATTCCAGTGTTTATAGAATTTAACTTAAAGCAGAAAGCCACAACTCAGTAACTTTCCCTGTTTATTTTAAGCAGTTATCAGTCAAGAGCAATACAAAGCAAAACCAAATTTTAATTTCTCTAAAAGATACACAGATTTTAAGAACAGACACTAATTTTACGAAAGGCTTCACTCTCTTTAAGTATCCCGTCCATCCAACACATTTAAACTGTGATCAAAACCACGGGCTTCTCCTGGCACTGCAAAAAATGAAGTTGAATTAAAAACAGGATTCCTAACTCTAGGTCAGCACAAAAACCCATTCTATTTTCATTTATTTATTTTTTAAAAGATTTTATTTATTCATTTTAGACACAGAGATACAGAGAGAGAGAGAGCATGAACATGCAAGAAGCAGAGGGAGAGGGAGAAGCAGGCTCCCTGCCGAGCCAGGAGCACAATGTGGGGCTTATCCCAAGACCCGGGGATCATGACCTGAGCCGAAGGCAGGCGTTTAGCCATCTGAGCCACCCAGGCGCCCCAGCCCATTCTACTTTAAAAATATTTCTAATAATTGTTAATTGTTTCTTTACATAAAAAATAAGTTAGTATTTTTATCACAGAGGTACTCCATGCAGTAAAAAACAATTCAAACAATTGAGAATGGTATAAAATTTAAAGCCTTCACCCACACTTTCCATAGATACTCACTGCTTATGATTTCTGGTTTTCACTTCCTTTAAGTCATATATTTGTACCTCAATTTCTTGACCAAGTTATCCATGTATTAGTCATTTACTTATTGCTTCCTGAGCTGAAAAAAAGAAGACATTGGCACATTTACTCTTCTAACCATTTCCCTCATTTCGTTTCTCATTTTTTGTTGGTTGGATTATTATTTTTACTTTGTTGAGGTTTATAAAATTTATATCTTTTTCTGTAATTATAATGAACATTTCCACATTTGTAATGGTTATAAAAATTTAAAACCTAGAAATAGCATTTATAACAGTGAGGTGTGTGTGTTTAACTGAATCACCAAGTGATGTTTCTGGACTCGTGGAGACGAAAACATCATATTAAGTTATTAAAGCTTTGCTGCTTGAGCAACAGGGTCTTCATTTCTTTCATGGTTCCTTTCTTTCTTCTGGCTCTTGTGTGGCTACAGCTGTTTCTTTCTTTCTTTTTCTTTTAAGATTTTATTTATTTGAGAGAGAGAGAGAGGAGAGAGTGCATGAGGGGGGATGCAGAAGGAGAGGGAGAAGCAGGCTCCCCGCTGAACAGGGAGCTCCAAGAAACTAATGCAGGGCTCATCCCAAGACCCTAAGATCATGACCTGAGCCGAAGGCAGCCACTTAACCAACTGAACCCCCCAGGTGCCTCAACTATAGCTGTTTCTTATGTCGCATGTCCCCCTGTTTTGTGATTCTCATCTTTTGGGTAACAGTAATTTTTTTTCACCTATGGACCGGTGGTAGTAAATTACTCTTGCCTTGTCTGACTGTAGAACTGTGGGAGGCCAAATTTTTGTCATGTACTCAAAAACAGTACTTCACAACAGATTGAATGCAAAAGTAGATAGGTGGATCCAGCTGTCTCCTATCAGACCACACATTAGCATGATCTGCAAAATGTATCACAAGGCCTCTTTTTATTAAATGTTTTTGTTTTGGACAGTAGTTATTTTTCCTGAGAACAGGGCATTTATTTGAACAGATAATGAGGTTATTACTGTGATATTTGAGTGATTAATATTTAAAAGTAGCTCCCTTTAAATTTCTGATATGGCAAATATTGATAGATATAACACACACAAACAAAAGCTCTTTGGGGTCCTCAATGATGTGAGAAACAAAGGCAAAAGAAAAAATTAAATTTCCTTGCTGCCTACAGCCTATTGACAAGTCCTTGAAACAGACAGAGTGACCTTCCTCTAGGAACTCAACTGCCTCGATGTTAATACTTTGCTGAGAGCAGAAGGCAGTCTTAGCTTAACATTATCCTGACCTCCGGGATCCTGTAAGTCTACTTTAACATATAACAATTCCTTTGGAAACTAACTTTATCTCTAGCCCCTCAAGATACATGTTAGCAGTCATCCTCCAAGCACATCATGGCCCACTAATACACATCTGAAGGGTTTCATGACTAAGGTTTTACTAGACAGTGATAAATGACTTTTCCTTTTTTCTTTTTAAGATTTTATTTATTTGAGAGAGAGAGAGAGCACAAGCAAGGAGAGGGGGAGAGGGACAGGGAGAAGTAGACTCCCCGCTGAGCAGGGCGCCTGATGCCTGGCCCGGTCCCAGGACCCTGGGATCATGACCTGAGCTGAAGGCAGATGCTTAACCCAATAAATGACTTTTCCTAACAATAGCTAACCCCCTCAAGGTCCTGGGAACCTTACTTCTAAATTCCTTGGAGACTTAACACTACCCCTAACCCCCTCCCACCTTGAAAGTATATAATTGCCTCACACCCCAGTGCAGCTCTTTCTGCCCATGGGCTCTGTCCCTGTGCTCTCATAAAACCATTTTTTGCACTGAAGACATCTCAAGAATTCTTCCTTGACATTCACTCCAAACCCCAGCATTTCCATGTCACTCAATAATTTTTAAGAATGTAAAGGGGCCTTGAGACCAGGAAGTTTGAGAACAGGTGCTCTAGGGATTAAGTGCACATTTCAAACT